ACCGCAGCATCACGTACTCATCGCCCTTGGTGGCCGCTGCCGCGCAGGAGGGGCCGCCGGCCGGGACCCCTGCGGGATGGAGAGGCGTCAGGGTGGGGTACTGTGATGCTGTGCCGAAGCGTTCTCCCCCCCACAAAAGGAGACACCCCCTGCTTTGCACCCCGGCTGTGCCGTGGGGACCCCTGTTCTGGAGCAAACTGAGGTTGTTGGAGGTCCCAGCCAAGGCAGCATCGCCTTGGGGTGCCCATCCCATGGCTTGGTCATGCCATAGGGGTCACCGCGGCTCCGCTGTGCCAAGGCAGGGGGGCGGGTGTCAGGATTTTTGGGGGAGGGTGGAGGGGGACCCGTCCGCACTCACAGAGGGTGGTCCCGCAGGCAGCCCCGTGCGGCAGCGCGGGGTGGGAGGCCAGGCAGGAGAAGGAGCTGCCGTTCTTGGTGGCCGCCCCTGGCTGGATGCTGGTGGCCATAGAAAAACTGCTCCCCATCACCCCCTCTTCCTCCTCCTCCTCCTGGGGGCCCACCCAGCGCAGCCGTGCTGGGGGGAAGCCCCCCAGCCAACGGCACCGCAGGGCCACGTCCCGCAGGTCACCGGTGGCTAGGACAGAGCAGCTGGGGCTCCCGGCTGGTGGATCTGCAGGAGACCATCAGCGCTGGGGTAGGGTGGGAGGGGGTCCCCCCGCTCTGTGCCCAAATTGCCCCTCGCACCTGTGTCCTCACCGGGGAGCCACATTGGTCCACCTCGCCCTGGGGGGGGGACACACCAGGCCACCCCCCCTGCCCTGGGGATTACTTACAGTAGACAGTGAGGATGATGGTGGCCTGAGTGCGGGTATGGAGGTGGGTGTTTTCGGCCAGGCAGGTGTAGGTGCCCGCCTGGGCTCGGGCGATGGCGGTGATGACGTAGGTCTGGCCGGTGTGGACCTGGGAACCGTTGTGGAGCCAGACGTAGCGGCTGGGGGGGTTGGAGGGAGCCAGGCAGCTCAGCACCACGTCCTCCCGCTCGCCCGCCGAGAAGCCCCCCTGCTCGGGGGAGAAGGGCTCCATGCTGATGGCCGGCTCATCGGGGCCGTCTGCGGTGACACGGAGACCCTTAGCCACCAGGATGTCCCTACAGAGGGGACGTAGCCCTCCCCGAAGTGTCTTCCTGCTGGTGGGAAACTAGGCTGTGAAGCCTCCTTAGAAAGGGTGCGCGATGGTGGTTGTGAACACACCATGGTGGCTGCGGAGGCACCTTGGTGGCATGGTGCTTGGTGGCCATGGATGTGCCACAGTAGCAAGGTATATGGTGGCCATGGACGCACCATAGTGGCGCAGTGCTTGGTGGCCGTGGATGTGCCATGGTGCACAGTGGCCGTAGACACACCTTGGCGCGTGGCAGGCACATGGTGGCCACGGACATGGCACGGTGGCCGTGGAGGCATCATGCCTGTTGGCCATGGCTGTACCATGATGGCCACAGAGGCCTCATGGTGGCCACGGATGTACCGTGGTAGCGATGGACATACCATGGTGGCATCTCCAGCCCTGAGGATGCTCCCACAGTTGGTGCCCGAGGCCCCCCACCTTGGGGCAGCCCCCCTCCCCGCCCCGGCAAGGTGGGCCCAAGCTCCAGAGCACTCACAGACGATGTCCAGGTAGACGGGCTCGCTGGTATTGTTGTTGACCTCGTTGTGCACGGTGCAGGCGTACCAGCCGGCGTGGCTGCGGTTGGCGGGCGTCAGGCGCAGCTCTGCCCCAGAGCCCCCCAGCCCTGCGGGGGACGCTGAGGGACCCCCCCGGGGCTCCCGGTGCTGCCAGGAGAAGCTCAGCGGCTCCGTTCCCTCCCGTACGGCGCACGTCAGGGCCACCGCCGCCCCCTCCGGCGCCACCGCTGCCGTCGGCCGCACGAAGGGCTTGGAAACGGGCACTGGGGGCACCTGGCTGTCAGCGGCCCCCCGAAGCTGCCGGCCCCTTCCCCCCGTCCTGCTGGGACCCCCCCAGATCCCTCCTGTCCCACCTGGGGGTGACCTTGCTAGCCCAGATGATTTATTGGCTATCAAGGTGCTATAGCAGCTAGTGGGATGGCTAGCGAGAACATCTACAGGCTAGTGAGGGGAGCGTCCTGGCTGTGGGCCTGGGGACTAGCTGGAGCAGCCAGGTATGGGCAAATGGAACCAGTTATGGGCTGATGGGTTGGCCACGGCAAGGAGATGGGAATGGCCAGTGGGCTGCTATATTGAGTAGTGGGGTGCTTTGCTGCCTACTGGGGTGCTACATTGGGCTAGCGGGGCTCTATGTTCGCTAGTGGCATGCTTTATTGACTGGTGGGGCCCTTCGGTGGCTAGTGGGCCACTACCTCGGGCTAGTAGAGCTCTACGCTGGCTAGCGGCACGCTTCGTTGACCAGCGGGGCCCTTTGTTGGCCAGTAGCGTGCCACGTCGGCCAGTGGAAGACTCTATTTGGCTAGTGGGCGAGGGGACGCTTCACGGCAAGGCTGGCCGGCCGGCGGCTTACCCAGGACGCGCAGGAGGATGGCGGCGTAGCCGACACGGAGCCGTCCCCGCTCCGGGAAGAGCCCCTGGCAGAGGAAGCGGCCCTGGGCGGCTGCCCGCAGCTCCCGCAGCTCCAGCGTCCCGTTGCGCAGGGTCACCCGGCCCAGCGTTCCTGCGCCGGGGGCCACCGCCACCTCCCCGCCCGAGCCCACCGCCACGGCCCTCGGTGGTCCCGAGCCCGTGAAACTCCAGAAGACCACCGCCGGCACTGCCGATGCCGCTGCCGGCCCGCAGCTCAGCTCCACGGCCCGGCCCCGTACCCCTGTCACTGTCTGCTCCTTGTAAGCCACCTCCCCGGCTGCCAGCGGTTGACCTGGCCAAGAGGTGTGGGGAATTGGTCAGGTCTCTGCTTGCTCCCCCCTTCCCGGGAAAATTTGGGGGGGGGGGGGGAGGAGGAGGAGGATGGCTGAGGTCTCTGCTCACCCCCCACCAGCGCCGGCAGCAGGCAGAGGATCCAGGGCCCCCTCCAACACAGCAGCAATGCCCGGCCGCGCTCCATGGTGCCATGTCCTGCACCGAGCCCCGCGGCAGGACGCCGAAGCAGGGCTGCGCTCTCCAGCCCGACCTCCTCTCCGGTTACCCCTGGGTAATTAGGCCCGGTCCTGATTAACCGTTAATTATTTATAAACCTGCCTGCACGTGGGCAGGGAGGAGAACCTGATGCCACTGCCTGCCTCAGCCCCTGCAATCTCAGGGCTGAGGCCGGGCGTGCTCATTGCAAGAGTGGCAACATCACCTCCTCCCCCCCACGCCTCCTCCAAGCAGGGGAAATTTATTCCTGTTAACCCCCCCCTTTTTTGGCTAAAAGAGAGGAAAATATGCTGCCAACAACCCCCCCCCGCCAACTGAAAACACGGGGTTTTGGAGCTGGGGGAAGCTGGGCACTCGGCAGCAAGCGGGGTTTGATATTTCATCTCCCGCTCTCCGCAGCGCACCAGCCCATCAAACATTCATGGGGGGGGTGGCAACGCTGTAACACAATGCCAGGGAGGGGGTGGGGGGGGCTGGTGCACCCCAGTGGGAGGCTTTTGGGGTGCTTATGGTAAGGGGGGGACACAGGAGTACACTGCATCCCATCCCCAAAGCCAGTATCCACCAAGGGCCTTGTCTGGAGCAAATCAAGCTTGGGAGGGTGGCAGGACACAGCCCGGCAGCTGGAATTCCCCTCAAAATGGGGCATTTGCACAAAATTATCTCCAAATCTTTGTTGCTTTTATTTTCTGTGGGCCAGCGTCTTTCCCAGGGAGGACATTCACACCACAGCCCCAGGGCCGGGGTACCCCTGCCGGGATGCAGGACCTTCATCAGGGCAGGGAAGCAGCTTGGGGCACTGGTAAAAAAATATAACCAAAACAATATAAAGACTCCTGAATATAAAGATTTTCTGGCCCAGGGGTGCAGAATGAGGCCCAGGGGCTGTGGGGGAAGGCTTTAAAGCCTGCCTTGTTCCAGCCAGCATTGGGGGGGGGGAGGAATCTGGCAACACCTGTAGAGATGGGGTTTGGAAAGAAATTTGGAAAGCTGAAGAGAGGGGAGCGGCATGGTGCTGGCAGATCCAGCAAATGACACCATTGTCGGCACTTTGACCTAATAAAAACTGTTCTATGCAAAAAAGCAATAAATTCCAAGTGACTTTGGCAGAGGAAGAGTGACACCACCCTCAGAATTATAAATAATTCCATTTTGTGAGAGATCAGCTTGGCGACAGCGAAGGGACAAACCCTTTGGGAACAAACACACCCCGGGGCTGGCAACAGTCACCGAGAGGGGTCCAACCCCTCTCCCACCACCACTGCCATGACCCCAAATGCTGCCATCCCGGGTCCCAGCAGGACTGGGGAGAGCAGCAGCGGATTCATGCTGCCATCTAGCGAGACTGGGTTCTTATTTTTTATAACTCACTCCTTTCTCCTGACTTTTTTTTTTATTAAAGGTTTTTCTGAGAAACACCACACACTGCCTGGAGATGAGCAGCGGATTTTTTTGGCCAGTTACCAGATTTTTTACCTGTTTTCTGACCCCTCCACGTGCCCCTAGACCTGTTTTTGAGGAGTGTTACCCTTCATTAAGGCCCTCGGGGGATTCCTCAAGCCCCGCAAAGTCATGGCTGTGAAAACCTCGGAGAGATAACCAGGAACAAAACAGGGACAACAACTGCTGGGTCTGAGGGTTCTCCCCCAGCCTTCTCCTAAAATGTCACAACAAAACCAAACAGCTTTAGGAAGCTGTAAGAGAACTGGGAGCTTTTCCCCTGTAACTTTTCCTTCCGTTTTGAACCAAAACTCAGATCTGGGGGAGCAAATCCCCACTCCTCACTCAGTTTTCAAGCTTCTCAAGCTCATCCATGTCATCCGGGTCCAGCTGCTTGATCTTGGTCTCTGTAGGAAGGAAAAAAAAACCAATTGTCAGTGCTTGGTGCAACCAGGGTGAAAAGAGAGCCCAGTCACCCCACAAGCTGGTGTTCGCACTGCTTGCACACACACGCACAGGCTGCAAAGCTCCCCGAAATGCTCGGCCTAGTATTTATTCCCAGTCCGTGACCTTCAAGCACAGTGTAAAGCAGCAGCAGTGAGGCAGGTTAGGTTTTTCAAATGTGCTTCCACTTTCTGTTCCCACTTCCAAAGCGATGCGGGAGGGGGAAGGTCCATTATCCTCCTCTGGCAGCCCCGGCCCTCAAGTTGCAATGTCATGGTGTTAAAAGGAAAAGTCAGTTCACTAGGAGTTCATCCGCTCAGATTTTCAGCCCTTGGAAATCCCACACTGGGCTCCTTTGGCTAATTCTGGCCGTGGCCGTGGTTGGGACTCATCCACCTCCTGCTCATCACAGTTGCCCAACGCTTCTGCTGCTCAGGGGAAAAAAAAAAAAATCTTTGCCAGAATATCTGGCTCATGTCTTCTCTGCCAGGTGTCTGCCGCGGGCTCGTTTGGTGTTTAAATTTAAAAGGGCAAGCTGCCAAGACAGTTGAGCAGCTCTGAGGATGAAGCTGAGGAAGGGAGGTGTTTTTCTGCAAGCCAAAAGGTTTTGATAACTTTCTTTTCCCTAAAAATCATGGGGAAAACAGGCACCGGGATTTTAAAAGCCACAGCTGCAGCCACGGCATCTTGCAAATCCCGTGAAAAACCCTCGATGTTTACAAGTGACGATTGATTTGTGCTCAGGGAAGACCTGCGCCATTTCAGCTGCCGGCTTCTCTCCTGCAGCCAGGGCTGAGCTAAACCAGGGCACCAGCTCCCCCGGGACAGGGATTTGCAGGGTAAAGGCAGATCAAATGCCTGAAGGAGGGGAAAAAAGAAGAGGTGCTGAGGCATCCTGAGTGCTTGTAGCATCCCTTGCAGGTCACACACAACCTCCTAGGCTGTTTCTCTGAAAATTTGGCTGCTGGGATTAAAAAAAAACCAAAAAACCAACCCTAAAAGGGTGAGGGGGCTGAAAGGAAAGCTGCAGCTGTCACTTGCACTGAGTGGGATGGGCCCCAGGAAGAAGAGCAGCCCAATAAGGTCCATTTGCAGATGGAAAACGAGCCAGAGGGGGATCACCTGTCCCAAACCCACCCCCCTGGAGAGAAGGAGACACGCGGATACTCACGGAAATGCTCCTCTATCATCTGCACAAGCCCCACATTCTGGCTTTCCACCATGCTGAAGGCAACTCCCCTCTTGCCGAAGCGTCCCGTTCGCCCTATGCGGTGGAGGTAGGTCTCGAAATCCGGCTCGCTCCTCTGATTGGTGGGGAGGCTGAAGTTCACCACGATGGTGACCTGCTGGACGTCAATCCCTGAAAAAGGGAAGAAAGAAGGGGCTGCAGAAAGAGATCACCTTGCCCTGCAGGTCGGGGAGGATCCGCTGCTTGAGCCCACGCTACCACCAGCAGCAGCAGAGACCCCCAAAGCGCATTTCACGCCATCAGAAAGGCGAGGGGGCTTTGGGTTTTCCGGGGCTACCTCTGGCGCAGACGTTGGTGGCGATGAGGACCTTCTCCTTCCCGTCGCGAAAGCGCTGGATGACATCGGCCCGTTGGGCTACCGTCAGCTCTGCCGTCAGGATGGCCACCTGATGCCCGTCCTGGCTCATCTCCACCGCCAGCCAGTCCGCGCTCCTCCGAGTCTGGACGCGTGGGGAGAGGCAGGCAGAGGTTTCGTAGCAGCTCCCGCTGTCGCTCCGCTCACCGATATTTTCCCCCTCAACTTCCCGGGTCCCTTGCTCCTTTTAAAGGAGCTCCCGACACTTTTTAACACCTCGAAAGAAGGCAAAAATGATGCAGAGGAGCAAGAAGCCTCTATCAGGACACCCAGCGCAAAGGGCAAGGAAACACAGTGTGTTTTCCGTGCGCCAGTGACCATGGGAGCCCAGCAAAGGCAGTCCCAACTGGTAGGAGAGACGCTTTTAAAGGCTGCCTCTGCCACAGGGCTGTCCTTTGAATGCTGGCAACGTGTTCCCCACCCCTCCCTGGGGTCCGCTCCTTGATTTTGAGGGTCTTGGGAGGAGCCCCCCACATCCATATGGTAAAAGTGAATCGTTTCTCTTATCGCTGACTGCAAATGTGTCCATCTCCCCAGGCAGGCTGAGGTGCTTTACCTGGCAGAAGATCATAGCCTGGCCAATGGTGATGCTGCCGTAGATGTTGCAGAGGGCTCTGTACTTCTCCTCCCAGCTCCTGCACACGAAGAAGTACTGCCTGATGTTGCTCAGGGTGAGCTCTTCTTCGCGCAGCTTTATCATGATGGGGTTGGAAACGATTTGCATGGCGAACGCCCGCACAGTTTCCTTGAAGGTGGCCGAGAACAGCAGCATCTGGCAGCCCTTGGGTAAAGCCCTGATGCGGAGAAAAAGGACTTGTCAGGCCAGGAGAGCGGCCTTGTGCCCAGATGTATGTGTCAGAATTAAAAAAAAAAAAAAAAAAAAAAAAAAAAGAGCTAATTTTGTTGTGTCGCCTTCAACAGAAAGGGAACCCAATCCAAGGGCTGTAACGGCTCAACAGAAAGGTAAGCGAGACAGGAGTTGTCCTGTGTGTCTCACGGATGCAGTTTTATGGAAAGACAGATCCTGGGATTAAGCAGGTCAGAGCCTGCTGAATTGCAAAAGCCGATTCTCACAGCAGCAAGCCCCTTTGACATCACAGGGATGCCCTCCTTCACTGGTGATTCAGCTCATTTGGTGACCGATTCCCTTGCAGCCAGGCAAACGGGAAAAAAACAGGGAAGCAGGATGCCAGCCATCAGGAACACTCACCTCTGAATGCGAATGCTTTGACAGGAGAGGCCCTGAGTGTCGATCATGATGTCGGCCTCATCCAGCACGAACAAGTTGATCTTCTTCAACTCCACGACTCTCCGTTTGAAACACCAGTCCAGCATCGTCCCTGGGGTCCCGATGACGATCTGCTCCTGCAGCGTGGTGCCCTGCAGAACTGCCAGAGGGGGAATTGCATCCAAGCGCCTCCAAACACAACGTGTTTCTGCTGCTCGAGCGCATTTTTCCCTCGGTTATCTCAGATTCCGGCCTTTTGAGGGGGTCATGGCAAAGTGGAGTTTGAGGTGAAAACTGCAGGCAGGGCCGACGCTTCCCTACAGCCTGGTGCAGTGGAAACCAGCCCCACGTGGGAAGGGGGGAGCCTGGAAGCAGCCAGCGATTGTGAAAAAGACTCCTTAGCAGGAGAAGGGAATACAGACGCTATTTTATCGGCCTTCACGGAGGTCTGCGCGGCCCCTGGTAGCTCAAGGCTCTAAAAGGGGATCCCTATACTCACTTAACGCTCCCGTTACAGTGCCAGTAGCTCTGCTTGGCAGGACCAGACTCACCTCGGTTTCCTCGGACAGCATACATAACCGTGATGTCGGTGCAAAACCGCCCAATCTTCTCGATCACGTGCCCGATCTGCAGGGCCAGCTCATAGGTGGGAGCCAAGCAGAGGCACTTGAAGGGAAATAAGAGAGCTGTCAGACAAGAAACGCCTCGACTAAAAGCTGAGGGCGCTCCCGGGGGTGGGATACACCGGGCAGACAAGGTATTTCGAAGGGGCGGAAGGAAGAGCCCACACCACTAAACTCCCTCAAAAGCGCAGGGGGATGGGGCAGTCAGTCACGTTTGGAGGTGAGAGAGCTGGCACTGCGACACAGCTTGAGGGAGGTAGGCAGAAAGAAGTCGCTGTAGCTGTTTTTGAGGGGGAAATTTCCCTCCTGAAGCATGGTGCGGTTCGTTTCTGCACCCAGCTTTAAAGCGATGGCTTAAATCACCTCGTGCGCCTGAGACGAGCAACTTCAAACCGCAGTAACCAGCTCGCAAAGCTGATTCTGCACGCAGAGAGGTGACTGGGGCTCGTGGGGGCATTTAAGGCACCAGAAAACCAGTAGCCTCTGCAGTTGCTTTTCACACTTTAAATTCCAGGATAGCTAAAGCCTGGCTTAATCTGCCACTAGGAAGCAGAAGTACCTCCATTTAGCGGGCAACATGCTTTCTGTCCTACCTGCTGCTGCGACGGCACCTGGGGGTTTTTCATCCCCCTCCAGCGGATAAAAATCATTCAGAGACAGGTAAAAAAACCCAGAGCTCTGCCCCCAGGCAGCGTCTCGAGGGCTTGGGAAAACCCCTCCTGCATCAGCTTTCCCTTTCCTGCATTACCTGCGGGTATTTCTCAGCGGCATTAACTCTGCTCAACATCGCCAAGACAAAAGCTGCGGTTTTCCCTGTCCCTGACTGGCTCTGGGCAATCAGATTTTGGGGCCTGCAAGGCAAAGGCTGCTTAGCGGCATGCAAGGGTCCCCGGATTGGCGTCCCGGCGCCAGGGATGCCTCGAGGGAGCCGGGGCTCACCCGCCTGGCGTTAACTACTCACGGATACGCCAGCATGATGGGCAGAGCCGTCTCCTGGATTTTGGACGGTCTGTTGAAGCCCATCATGTAAATCCCCTGCAAGAGCTCCTTCTTCCTGTTAAAAAAAAAAAAAAGCATCAAAAAGGGCCCTTTTGACAAACGACGGCAGCTCTCCTGCTCTGCTGGCCCGCCAGTGACTCACAGGGGCAGCTCTTCGAAGGTTTTGACGGAGAAGAGCGGGGAGCTGGGGTCCTGCTGCAGGATCTCCACTCGGTGGCTAGACTCCACCAGGGATGTGCGGATCAGCTTGTTCAGCAGGGAGGTTTCCGCCGAGTCCACTGGAAGAGGCAGAAACTCCTTAAAAAAGATACCGTCTTACAAAAAGTCTCTCCCCCTTCCCGCCGATAAAGAGGTCTCCGGCCACCCCCTCTCGTAGGGACCCTCTACGCCGCCAAGAGCTGTAGGTAACGAGGGAGCAGAGAGCGCGGCCCGCCGTGGAACCCCCCCCGCACCCAACTGCCCCACTCCCTGCCTCAGTTTCCCCCGCCTGCTTCACGGCAAGGCCCCGAGGACCCACCTCTGTCTGCCTCCTCCTCCTCATCGCCGCCGCCTGCTGAGGAAGGACAAACAAGGCCGGGGGTACGTGAGGCGGTTTGAGGCCCAGGCCCGGGCCGGGGCCTCTCCCTCAGGCGGGGGCCGAGGCCTCCCCTTACCCCGGCGGCGCGGCGGGAGGTACAGCCCGGGGAGCTGCGGAAGGAGAGGCGGCCGTTACGGCGGGAAGGGGACGGGAGAAGTCCCCGGGGAGCGGGGGAAGGCCCGGCCCGGTCCCTACCCGTTCCCGCCGGCCGCTGCTGTCCCCCGCCTCGGCCATGACACCCGCCTCGGCTGCGGGCAGGAAGGGCGCTCGGGGCGGGAGGCAGGAAAGGGCCGGGGCCATAGCGCCCCCTGGCGGCCAGGCGGACCGCCGCTTCCGGAGGCAGCCCCGGACGGAGCGAGCGCTTCCGGGTCACCGGCCCCGGCCCCGGCAGCGGCCCCGCAGGTACGGCCGGGCTGGCCCGGGGGGGTGGGGGGTGTGCCGGCGGGCGGGAGGAGCGGGGACCCCGTAGGGTGCCAGTGCTGCCCCCCACGGAGTTTGGGGGGGGTCCCTAAGGGGGGACAGAGCCCCCCCCCACCCCCGTGGGGTGGGAGAGGGGCAGAGAGCCCCCTCAGTCCCCGCTGGAAAACCGATGTTCTCTTCGCTTCGTCCTAAAACTCGCTTTATTTTAAAAACCGAGGTGAAATAAGGCAAGGGGAACCCAGCCGGGTGGTGCAGGGAGGGGGGGGCTGTTAAGAGGCGCCTCTAATTAACCCGCAGAACCTTAATGAATCTTTCCACGCGCTTTATTAGAGGAAGGCGCCACCAAGGCGCCATCGATAACACCTCCCGAGGACAACGGTCCGCGGGCAGTTCCATGCCAAAAAAGCCGTTACCTCCCCATCTCTCCCGATACTCAAGGATTCCTGCCGGCCACCAGTTTTCAGTGCTCACACCCCGTCCCTCCTCATCCTCGCCCGGGACGCCGGAGCCGGGAGAAGCAGGGGAAAACTAGGAGGAGGTGTTTTTCCTGGGGAGGAGGCCGTTGGCCAGGTCCCAGCGCACCTCCCAGCGCAAGGCCGCTCGCTTCTTCTCGGTGGGGACGGTGTAAGCATTGGGGACAGTGGGACGCCGCGGTTTGACAGGGAGTTCGGGCTGGCAGAGCATCTGCTCCCGGATGCCCCAGCGCAGTTCTTGTCGCCGATCCTCCCCTGGGATTCGAAATTTCTCCCATTCTCGTTTATATTCAAAATATTTTGCCACCGGGTCGGTTTTTCCACGGTTATGTCCCAGCGGCTCGAACCGCGGAGGAATGAAGGATTTGGGTTGTCCCACCACAGCGGCGTACTGAGAAGCGGGAGAGCTCCGGCTCCCCAAATCCCCAAGGAGGGAGGGGGGACTCTCCCCACGGGGCCACCGGCGAGGGGATTCATCGAGGGAGCTGCTGCTCGTCTCGATTTCCCCCTCGGAGATGCTGTCCTCCGGACTCGTCCTTCGCTGAAGCGTTTTCTGCCTCAGGCTCCAAACCTCGGCCTCGCTCTCCACCTCACTGGTCACTGACTCGTCGGAGACCTCCACTCCGCCATCGGGTCTGTGCCTCAGCACTTTCCTTTTCATTACCAACCTCCTGGTTCCCCTCCGATCCTCCGAAAACGTAGGAAGGGACAGCTGCCCCCCCAAAACAAGGGAGTTCTCGGCATAGGGATCATCACGGGGACGTGCCCACTCCTCGCTGTCTCCTTGCTGGCCATACAGCCGGCCCAGGGCCAGCACGGCCACCGGCTGCTCCTCATCATCCGGAGCGGCCCACCTATACCTGTCCGGTCTTGTCATCCCCTCCATAATTTCTGCCAAACCAGGTGGATTCTGAAAAAAAAAAAAAGGAAAAAAATCAACAAAAAACAGAGTTAATTTCTTGCAGCACGTTCGAGCTGGCCAAAGACGTAAAGGGGGCTCCAACTCTCAACTTCTGGGGTTCAGGGGTGTTGATTTAGGTTGCAGTTAATCGGACGGGGGTCTGGGAGCCCTGGCTGCGCTGCTAAATGTCCTGCCGCCAGCAGAAGGCTCTTTCCCTGCAGCAAATGGAAAGGCAACGCAGCTATAAGGCCCCAAAGCCCCCCCTGAGGCAACCCCTGCCTGAAAAGCAAGCTAAAATTAATTACATGACACATAAAGTACTAACAGGATGACGGACAAACACCAGGCAGAGGTATTAATGATTTTCCCCGCGTACCTCTTCTTTTAAAAACACTGTATCTAGTCGTGATTTAATCTAGGGACATCTGAGAGGGTGTTTGACTTCCATAGAGGAGAAGGCGCAGTGCAGCATGTTTAGGTGCTTTTGGGCTGTTGTAGCCGAGTCCGGTTGTAGTAAACCTCAAGACCTGCAGCAAAAAGGGACGTGGCCACGGTTTCCACTCACGACACAGGTTTGGGATCTCTTTACGCCACGAAGGGGGTTTGGAAGGAAAAAAAAAAAAAAAAAGGCAAGTTTGAACCGTGCTGTTACGAAATGTTAGAGCAGATGGTGCGGCGAGATGAATGGCAGCCATTAGCGGGCTGTCTGAAGTGTTGATGCTGGCTGAGCGCGGTGCGAAAATGGAAAGGGCTCTGTGACGGCTCCGCACGGATAGCAAAAGGCTAGCTGGGAACGTGCTGCTGCCGCGCCTGGGCTGACAGAGCAGATCCCATCGTGCGGCAGTGGCTGGGGGAAGAGGAGTGATTAAAAAAGTGCAAAAAAAGAGACTTGAGTAAGATGAAGCTGTCTAAGCTAAGCCCCCTTGGCCCTTCCCATGCTCTGCTAGGAACACCAAGGTGTTAAAAAAAAAAAAAAAAAAGAATTATTCCACTGGTAACAATTGTTTCATAGAGCGAGCCTATAGGTGTAATAAAAGTCAGGTAAAAACACTAAATGCCCCAATTTCCTTCTTTCTCTGCAGACCCCGAGGAGCTGCCAGCAACTAGTGAAGGCTCCGAGACAGCGGCTATGGCCGAGGAGAGCACATTTACCGGTCAGGAGCAACTCCTGAGGAAGGTACAGGAGCTGGAAGAGGAGGTGAAGCGGCTGCAGGAGAAGCTCCGAGAGGACAAGGAGGGTGCTGGGAGAAGAGGGGCTTCTTCGGCCCCCGGGAAAGCCAAGAAACGCCAACAACGACCGTTCGATTTCAGCGCCTACGGCCGCAGACACGTGGCACTGAAGATCGCCTACCTGGGCTGGGGCTACCAGGGGTTTGCCAGCCAGGAGAACACCAGCAACACCATCGAAGAGAAACTGTTTGAAGCCCTGAAGAAGACACGGCTGGTCGATGACAGACAGACCTCCAACTACCACCGCTGCGGGCGGACGGACAAAGGAGTCAGCGCCTTTGGACAGGTCAGGATCCCACCCCCCAGGCTTTCCTGGATTTCGGGGCTCCTGTGTGGGATGGAGTTCCCACAGCGACAAGCCCAGACAGCACAGGTTGGATTCATTGTTTAAAAGCTGACAGCTTTTAAATCTGAAAGTGAGCCTTGGTGAAGGCTTTCTGCATGTGGAATGAGGATTTTAGACCCACAAAGTGTTTATTAGTGCTAAGTTTTTTCCCATATTAGTGGTAGGTTTTTTCCATATCACTGCTACTTTTTTTTTCCAGGGGCCTGTTTTGAGAGGATAAAATGCATTTTAGGCTGCGGCTTCCCCAATAGCTCAGCGCTGCCAAAAAAAGGCGAGATGCCCTTTCCTTGGCAGAGCCCTCTCAGCTGATTTAACTCCCTAACCCCACAAAAAATAAAATAAAAAATAATCCAAGAATCGGATAGCTTCTTGCAGCGCCAGGCAGCTGAATTCTTGCGCAGAAGGGTCTGAGGGGAGTCGCAGCTAGCAGAAGGGAGCGTGGGAGTGGGAGCCGGCCCGCTTGGTGGGCACGGAGCCATTGGGCTGGCCGAGGTGCTGGGGAAAGCTCAGCCCTTCCTGTGCTGTGGTGGCTTCGCTGCCGGGCCTGTCTCTCCTTCCCTCCTGGCTCAGGAAGGGGAGCTGGCTTAGCTTTTGCCTCGCCGGGGTGGTTTTGGCTCAGATGGGCTGTCTGCTCTCCTTCACAAGGCGAGCCACACAAAATAAGGGCACAGGCCGCCTTTTCTTGTGCCATTTAAAGTGCGCAGGCACCTGTGGCGTTAATTAACTCGTTCCCACATCAGGTTTCTCAGACAGCCAGGCTGTTACTGTGTTCAAGTCATCACCCCCAGCACCAAAAAAAAAAAAAAAAAAAGCACATTATATCCTAAAAACAGTGACTAAAGTTGAAGCCGTTTCGAGACCATGCTACGTAGGCAGTCTGCAACTTTCTCTGTTTTATTAAAGGAATCCGTAGCATCTGCTAGGAACCTTAGCAGAGGCACTTGCAGCTTTACCCGCAGGAAGGGGTGGTAAGATCGCCTGATTTAAGACACCTTCATCTGTAGGAGATCCTGAATTTATTTCACAGTGGTGTAGGAAGACTTGGCTTGGCACGCCAAATATGCCCATCTGCAATCTAATCCTGGCTTTCCTCATTTTGCAGGTGATTTCCCTAGATCTCCGCTCAAACCTGTCGGAGGGGAAGAAGCTAAACGGCCACGAGGGTGACTCGGAAGGCAGAAGCGAGGGGGAGGAGGAGCTCCGTTACACCCATATTCTGAACAGGGTGCTCCCGCCTGACATCCGGGTGCTGGCCTGGGCCCCTGTGGAGCCCGACTTCAGCGCCCGGTTCAGCTGCCTCAAGAGGACCTACCGCTACTTCTTCCCCTGTGCCGACCTGGATGTGGCCCTCATGCATGCCGCAGCCCAGAGGTACGTGGGGACCCACGATTTCCGTAACCTGTGTAAAATGGACGTCGCCAACGGGGTGGTCAACTTCCAGAGAACGATCCTCAGCGCTGGAGTGACGTGGGTGGAGAGAGGAGGAGAAACTGGGCCGCAGGATCCCTTCTGTCTGTGCCAATTTGAAGTGACGGGACAGGCATTCCTCTACCACCAAGTCCGCTGCATGATGGCAATCCTCTTCCTCATTGGCCAGAAGATGGAGAGCCCAGAGATCATCAACGAGCTGCTGGATGTAGAGAAGAACCCCCAAAAACCGCAGTACAGGTACAGAGAGCTCAGCAAAACCTCCTGGGCTGATTCTCCAAAGCGATGGCTGCGCGTGAAGTGCCGCTGGCGAGCTGCTTCTCTGCCAGACTGTGAAGCAGTCTCTCACAATAGGGAAGCAAGCTGCCAGTGGCCTCACTGGGAGGCATCCAAAAGGATCTCGTTTTTCTTGCTCTTGGACAAACTTTTGATGGCTTTAGCCCTTGGTATTTGGTTAAAACTAATTCAGTTCTTAGCAGAAAAAGGAGTTCTGAAAAAGACAGGGCTGTTTTTGGCAGAAAGGACAGGCTGATGTGCTGTTGCACGAGCCTTTTTTGTCACAGCGTTCCCCCCAGATGGTGACAAGTAACGCCTTCTCTCTTCTTCCCTAGCATGGCCGTCGAGTTTCCCCTCGTCCTGTATGACTGCGAGTTCGAAAACCTTCAGTGGCTCTACGACCGAGAAGTGCAGGAGTTCAACGTTACCCACCTACAGCAGCTCTGGGCCAACCACGCAGTCAAAACTCAAGTGCTACGTAACATGTTAGGAGGGTTAGATGCTGCTTCCATGGCTACTGGAAAAAGTAAGGGATGGTTTTGTCGCAATACCTTGGAATTACAGAGGGATGGGGGTAACTGGTTTAAAAAAACAAACAAACAAAAACCAAAAGGGGTATTTAAATAGATTGCTCAGAAACTACTGGTATTTTTTCAATTCCATTGCAGGCCCGGGGAACAGCACACCCATCCTCTGGGGAGATATGAAGCCTCCGCTCCGCAGCCAGGTCAGTGGCTTCATGGAAGGCGTCAAAGCCCGCACCTACAAACCTTTACTGGCCCGCCCCAAGTGCGAGGGGCTGGAGGCCCGCATCCGCCACTTTGTGCGGAGGGGTCGCATCACAACCCCCTGGGGCCTGGAGGTGGGGGGGGACAGAGACGAGCAGCCCCCCGAGACCAAGAGGAGCCACTGCAGCGATGCCCCAGGGAGCGGCCGTGCCACAGAGCAGCCGCCCAAGCGGGTCTGTGTAGACCTCGAGTGATGGTGACTGGTCACCTCAGCGGGAGGAGGGCGGCTTGCTGCTTTCGTTTGGTTTTTTTTTTTAATTGGGGGGGAAAAAAAAAAGTTTTAAAAAAAAAGGAGTTTTCCAGTGCTATTTTTATAAATTTCAAGAAATCTTGTGGAGTGCTGCTGTGTCCTGGCCTGGGAGAGGATGGGGTAGGGTGGGGGGTGTAGCCTCAGCCCCCTCAGAGCCGCTCACCTCGCTGTGGGCCTTGGCGGGGGGATGGACGGACGGGGATGGGGAATGCTGAGGCTGTCCTGGGCTGAGGCAGCCAGGGCCCACCCTCCATCCTCGGCCTGACCCCCCGGTACCTGACAGGGCCCGGCTGTTCCCGTCCTCCCGTCCGCGACCGTTACCGGCCGCTAACCGTCGCCGGCGTTTAAACAGCCCTCCCCCGAGGCCCGCCCTTCGCGGCGGCGCCATTGGGCGGCGGGGGTGTCGCTCGACCGGCTGGCCCCCCTCCCCGTACCGCCGCGGGGGGGTTTTGGCGGGC